TTTCTCTGTGTGCTGTGAAGTGGTGAATATTTTTAGGAGTGTAATGTGGAGTGTGACGTTGTATCCCTGTCATTGCGAGTTATTTCCCATCTATCTGGCATCTGTACTATTCCCACCCCTTTACAATGTATGTTCAAAACTAAACAAAAAAAATGCAAAGCATCGTTATGTTTCATTTAATGAAAATGTTTTTTATGGATTTTGTTCTGTAATAATTTAGTCAATACTGGGAAGTTGAAAACTTTTGGGAGATTTCCAATGGCTCAAATAGCATTCACCCATTTATTGTTATACAATTTCAATCAACTTTGAGCTGAAGTGGTTTAATATAGTGTTATTTGAATTGTATTATTGTTATTTTTGAGCAATGTTAGTAAAATTGTATTCAAAACAAAACAATGTGTCACTGTTAGGTGCGTGGCCATGACATTGTCAGGGTGGGGGGAGCGTTTAAGGCGACGCAGTCCCGCAGCCTATCCGATTGTCAGATTGGTAGCAATGACATTCTGGCCTTCTACCAGTTCGAAGAGCCATTAAACGTGTACGTCAAGCTTAGCGAGGGGCGGGAACAGACTTAATCCAAGCATGCGTTTGAAAGTTATGAAGATCAAGAAAGAAACATTTCTTACAATGGGAGTCGCTTAGTCACTCCTTGTTTGGTCACGTGATGAGAGTAAGCCATCACTAGGCTGCTACACACAACAAAAGATACTTCATCAGTGCTTCCCCAATGTCATGTTACTTGAAAACTTTAGTGTCTTTACCTTTCAAAATATTCTGGAATACACGCGGTTTTAAATGAAAAATGTGACAATACGTATACGTCAGTTATGATTAAAGGAAGAAAATTATTTCAAGAAAAATTTGTGAGCGATATTCGATGGGAACTATCATCGGCAGGCTGTTGTTGAGCTCCGTGCGTGCCCATGACGTCATTTGCGTGTTTATTCAATATTTGTGCAAGAATCATTCCCCTTTGTTTATTTTATTGTTAATTTTCATTGGACGAAATTTTGGAATACCCATGACATCATTTGCGTGTTTATTCAATATTGGTGCGGCGAAGGAATATTTTTATAACCCGTTGGAACAAGATTTCATGTGAATAATTAACGAAGGTCCACTTTGTCAAGCCATTATCTTAAATTTTCTTTATCCTTAAGCGGAAACGTATGCAGACTTATACCGCTGTCCTTAACTTGACTGTTAAAAGCCGAACCTTGCCTAGGCATCTTGAATTACTAGTTGTAGTGTGTAGCGAGCTACTGTTGTCAAGCACTAGTGTGTTGTATACAGCCTACCGGAAGTCTGACTCGTTTTTACTTTCATCACGTGACAAATCAATCGACTAAGCGACTCCCATTGAGAACGTCGGCAGGGGGAGGTCAACGTGACTTGGATAGCTGGTGTGTAGGAAAAAATTGATTGGGAAGGGTGGAAATATTATGTTGACGGTTAATTTGTTAAGGGTGCCAACTTTGGCAGGACACAAGTTTTTTTATGGATATGTTTGTATGTTTTTATACACAAGTGTATATATTTTAAATTCTTAAAATTTTCTAGAAAGTAACAATGGTGAGCTATTACTCCAAGGATGTGCGTAATACAATTGTGCGAAATGGTGCTCAAAACTTGGTGTTGAAATATTTTTGTGATTTATGGAAAATATAGATGGTACGCATCAGTTCTTGTTAAAATGTGAGCTGGACAAATGGATAATTATGGCAATGACGTTAGATAAATAAGAAAATTTTAAAAGACTCTATATATACTATCTTGAGTAGAGTATGCATATTTTATTTCACGAATACAGGTGAAACGGCAGTTTAAAAAAAAAATCATAACAAAATAGAATAACTGATTACAAGTTAAAAAGTTTCTAGAATTTGATCAAACGATTTCTTAATGTTATCTTGTCACACACTAACTTCAGACAAAAGTTAAGCTAAGCACTGGATCTTTGTAACAGCAACAGTCAAATAGTTCTTGTAATTAATTCTATTTTTTTTAAAATATACATACATATAATATATAATCAATAGCACAAGACTTGATAAGCCATGAGAGATCTTAGTGAGGTCGATTTCTAATTTATTTTGACAGTACAAGTTGGCCTGGTGTAAATTTGCCAGATGTGCCATAGTTAACCCACCTCTGATTGTTCAATGTAATTTTTGTGGTGCCTTATAGTTAATAGATGTTTAGTTTTCGTAGCGTCTTATATTTTATAGCCGTTGTTGGTTTTGTGGTGCCTTACAGTTTATAGCTGTTGTTGGTTTTGTGGTGCCTTACAGTTTATAGCTGTTGTTGGTTTTGTGGTGCCTTACTGTTTATAGCTGTTGTTTTTTGTTTTTTTAATTTTAAAGAGAAAGTTTTTGGAGGTAAATCAAAACAAATCAAAAATATTTTGCAGCTTTATCAAACCCAAGACATTCCGCCGATTTAGTCCGTTCGAAAATCGTTCGCGCATACCTTCTGCGTACGTCGAAAAATGATGATCGAAAAAAAAGGGGGGGGGGGGAGTATCGATAATAATATTCTTTTATAAGAAAAGCAAACATCGTGAATTTTAATAAACAAATATCTAAAAAATATTTTGGCTTTTAAACATTCCGCCGATTTAGTCCGTTCGAAAATCGTTAGCGCATACCTTCTGCGTACGTCGAAAAATGATGATCGAAAAAAAAGGGGGGGGGGGGAGTATCGATAATAATATTCTTTTATAAGAAAAGCAAACATCGTGAATTTTAATAGACACATATCTAATAAATATTTTGGCTTTTACCGTTAGAATTAAAAATTAATTGAAAGTTGTTTAACATGTATTTTAAAGTTATAGGGTAAGAGAAAAACTGTACTTATAGCGGGGTGGGGTGGGGTAAAATCCATGGAAAATAGACCCTTTACTTTAATGATATAATTACTAAGCCACCTGCACAGATTTGGTATCGATCAAAAGCTTGGCCATTGTAATACTACGCCACCGAGACATATTTGGTATTGATCAAAAGCTTCGCCTATATAATAAGGTCCACGCTACCTAGACATCAAACGAAAGTTTGATCTATGTTATAATTATTACGCTGCCTACACAGATTTGGTACAGTTCAAAATCTTGGCCTATGTATTTTTATTGCAATGGTCTACTAAAATGTCAAGAACCCGAAATTACTCCGAAAGTGATAAAACTGCAACTTTCTGTGCCTATTCCGGTCGGCCTCTAGTCATCATGGTCATCATCATCGCCTGTCGTCCCGTCTGGGCAAAGGCCACAAACAAAAGCTCTCTTGGCATCCCGGTCTTGGGCAAGTCTATCCAGCTGTCCCCAGTTGTGCCAAAAAGAGTGGCACAACTCGGCCTCTATTAATTTATTATAATGAATATGGTGTACCAGCTGACTGGAGCTCGAGGTCTTTTATTATAATTTCTTTTGTTTGTTTGTGGGCTAGGGGCATCAAAACTCTTTAGTTAAATCAGCGGTGTATGAGCAACAAAATTAAAAGCTTGAGAACCACTGCATTTTGAGATTGTCTTCAACAAGTTACACTCTACGAAACATAGCGTGATTATTTATGTGACGGTCGTGAATACTTCTGAATGCCCAGTGTCCGCCTGGAAGGTTTTTTTTAAAAAATATCTCAATGGCGTTGCCGTCGAATATTTACATGTCTCAATTCTGCTGCACTGTGAGAGTGCAGGTTCTATTTATTTAATCGATTTATGAGACTTTGTTTTAGAAATTTCCTGCCATCCCCCCCCCCCACATTTCTACGAAAAGAATAACAGAAGCGTTACAATACAGGTTTGTCCACTGTTATTATCAAATATTTATTTTTAACCTTTTGTGTCTTAGACTACGGCTTCTCGTCGTCCATGTCTATAACAACATTGTGTGTGACATCAGACGCACAGGCCACACTGCAGGCGCTCCACCGGGACCTCATTACTAGCTTCTCAGTAGAAGCAGGGACTCTCCGTCCATATCTGTGAAGGTAAATTCAGTGCTTAACGGTTTTTGTCTAAAGTTAGTGTGTGTCAAGATAGCATTAAGTGTTAGTTCACAAGATAAAAAATTCCTTTTAAATTACCTTCAAAGGGTCCAAAAAAAAATTATATGAACGCACTATTTTTTTGCGTAGTTTCTATTTTTGGACAAAAATGAACATTTGATCCGAATAGTAATTTGAAATGTGTCATAAGGCTTCATACACAAATCGCATCAATTGTATGAACGATCATATAAAAGGAATTTCATCGGTGAACTGAGCATAAGAAATCGCTTGATGAAATTTTAGAAATTTTAAAACTTTAATTCAGTTTTTTTGTTTTTTTTAAGAATTTTTGTTAAACTGCTGTTTCAACTGTATTCGTGCACCAAACATATTCATACTCTGTTCTACTATTTAGTGTCATTTTTTAAAATGTTAGTACGTGATTCAAGGTCAATAATACGATCATCCATTTGTACACCACACAATTTAATAACAAGAACTGATGATAACAGTTTATATTTTCCAGAGATCACAAATATATTCCAACACCAAGTTTTGAGCACCGTTTCGCGCGATGCTTGTAGATCGCAAGGCCTTGGCGTGAAACCTACCATTGTTATTTTCTAGATAATGTCAAGAATTCGATTACTATAAATAGCCGAGATAAAGCTAGGCCTCTTCTTCTTTGCTTGATGCCCACTTGAAGTTTTTTTCACTGCACATCGGAAGTCGTTTGGAAGAACCCATTCTACAACATCAGATTAATTAGACACGAACAATTTGTGTCAAAATAACAATATATTCCACATCAGCAACGGGACAGTTCTGTAAGCTATAATAATGAATCAAGGTGTCGGATTTCTCTGTGTGCTGTTTTGTGTGATGTCGATGGTCATAGCCTCATCACGTCATCATAGAAATGAATCCGTGACCACCGGACAGCACGACGACAGCAGTTTATCTGGAAACTCTCCAGGTTTTCTGATCCTGAGAAAAAAGTTTTCCCTGCTGAGAGTAAAGAAGGCGATTGATAAGTCCAAGACGGGGTTCACTGACAGTGAAAAGAAAATTATCCTGGATGCCCACAATAAAGAGAGGCGAATTTCGGGTGCCAGTGATATGATGATTTTAAAATGGGATGACGCCCTTGAGAAGTTCGCCCAGACGTGGGTGTCGAAATGTAATTTCACCCACCAATCTGAAGCCGAAAGAACGAACGTTTCAAATTTCCCTGTGGTTGGGGAAAACCTCGCAGCATCAACCGACGCATCGGGATATCCTGCAGGGGCTGTGAGCCAGTGGAATGGCGAGAAGGCGGACTACATCTACGACACCAACAGCTGCTCTAAAACTTGCGGGCATTACACGGCAGACGTCTGGGCCACGACGAGGTCCGTTGGTTGTGGAATCAAGTACTGTGACCCACTGCAAGGCGTTAAATGGCCCGGGTATTTCGTCGTCTGCAACTACGGCCCTGGCGGGAACTACGTCGGCCAGAAGCCGTACAAAAAGGGAGCAGCTTGCTCGGAATGTCCAAGCGATGCCAAGTACTGCATCGACGGCCTGTGCTCCACGACCCAGGGCACCGACTCGAGCGGTGAGATGGTCAGCATCAGCACCTATCTGTTATGTAGCTATACGATTATCTCAGCTGTCATTTTTCAAGTCATTGTTTAATTTGTGTATGTGAGGTTATGAAGGGCACATCATCAATGAGGCCTTCAATCAAGATATAAGGTGTGTGTGATTAAGTCTTCACCTTGAAAAACTTTATACCATTTCCTTAGAAACAACTTTAGACTATTTTCTTGGAACAACTGTATACCACTTCCTTGGAATATCTTTAGAACCTTTCCTTGAAACAAATTTAGAACGTTTCCATAGAAAACTTAAGACCCTTTCCTAATAACAACGTTGTTCCTTAGAACATTTAGACCATTTACTTAAAACTAATACTTATCATTTTCCTAGAAAAACTTTATACCATCTCCTTAGAACAACTTTAGACCATTGAGCTGCTGACCTATATCTATAAAAGAAAAAAAAAATTACAAATGAATGTCTACACATTTATTGTATGAAGTTGTCGATGCTTTCAAAAGTTCTGAGATTGAAAAACGTGTCCATTTAACGCTAGGTAACAATTATTTTACTGTGGGGGGAAAAACTCTCGGTTTGATAGGTTCTGGAACTTTAGTCACGACACGACGGCACCCAAGGTTTGATTATTTAAACAATCAACACAAAGATTCACAGTCTTGATATTTGGATATCATTTTGCCTTGTAATAACAGTCTACTTTTAATTTTAGAATCTACCATAAGTGTGACCTTTGCCAATTCTCATTGAATCATATCATTGTACAAATTAAATATTATACCTACAATATTATACGTTTTAATTTACATGTAGCAGATCTCATACAACACAATTCGTTTTTTTTGGTGTTTAATTTTTTGTTTTAAAGGATAAAACATAATGGCACATTCTGCCAGGGGGGTAATCCGCTAGTGATAGAAGCCGACAAAGACATTGGCCACCAGTGAGACTTGATGCGTTTGTTTATAGAAGTCATGTCGTAGTCAATATAAGGACAATTTGAATGATAACCAAGATAATGTGGTTTGGGTTGCGAAAAGGAAGTGGGTGTTGAGAATTAGGGACAAAAAAAAGAAGGGAAACCACTCTTTTAAATAATATTTCTTGGGTTAAATCCCTTTGAATATTAACCTACATAATGTCATAGCAAGTGACAGTGACAAAAATGTGCATAATCCAAAAATAAGAGCTTTTCTGTTTTGTTAAGAGATAATTAGTTATGACATTCTTCTGCTGATGTATTTGTTGTACCAATGTATCTTCGTATTGATATGATAGAATTCAGCTTGTAACAATCGTAACTCGCCTCAGAAAAAGATGTCAGTTTTGAACAATTTCACTTATGACAACCCCCCCCCCCCCAAGACACACACACCATTGGCAGACCTTGTCACCAATGATAGACCCTGTCACAAATGATAGACCCTGTCACCAAAGGCAGACCTTGTCAACAATGATAGACCCTGTCATCAATGGCAGACCCTGTCACCAATCAGATTTTCAGAAAAAAATCATATTTTCCCTTTCCGGAGAGACAAGAGCTTGGTCACATGCATACCACGTGTATGCAACAAAATTTTCAACCGTGGCCCAATGTGATTAAAGTTGATAAGATCACTTTTCGTTATCGAACTATTCAGAATCAAAGATGGTGTTTACTTTCAACAGTCGCAACGTGATTTACACCATGCTTTTTTAAAAAATGCACGAAGTCATACGTAGGGGAGTCAGGTCGTCGCCTTGGAGACAGTTTTAGAGAACACTTTTACAAGATCAATAAACAAGCCCTTCGTCCAGTTTCTAAAGATTTAAATAAAGATTTAGTTTATAATGCTAACCGTATTGAAATATTAGACATAGACTTTATTGGTACATTGTATGCTGTTAATAAACCTGATAAAATTTATATGGAAAAAAATAATTCAAAAATTAATGCTTTGACTTCATACGGTAAAAACTGAATTCACAATTTTACAAATGCTGCAATGTTTTTTTCTTGTTTGGTTTTTACATTTTTTCTCCCACACACTTTCATTCCGTTTTTCTGATTATTTTTTTTTCGTTATGGACTTGTTCCCTTTCTTTTTTTTTCTTTTCTTTCGATTTTAGGTATTATTAATATATATATATATATATATATATATATATATATATATATATATATATATATATATATATACATATATAATGAATTAATTTATACTCATAATGCATATCAAAATCGCTCTTTTTTGTTCTACTGATGAAGGCATTTGCCGAAACGATTGCATTTCTGACTTCTTTGTAACCATAAATAAAGCTTTACATAAATTGTTTTATTTCCACAAACTGTTTGTGTCTCTTTGAATCTACTTGAATGCTTTATCGCAGTGCAACATGTTTAGACCTTGTGAGCTTCATTCATTTGTCAAAAATGTAGTCAGTAAAACGTTTGATTGGGTTGCTATCAGGCTGGTGTAGGAACCTCTGATTGTTTGTTTTTACATACACATTATTATTTATAGATTGTTTTTATAATAATTGATTTTTTTCTGATAAGATAAGATAAGAAAAAATAAGATAGGTTAAGATAAGATAAGAAAAGATAAGTTAGGTTAAGATAAGAAAAATAAGATAGGTTAAGATAAGATAAGAAAAGATAAGATAGGTTAAGATAAGATAAGATACTATAAGATAATATACGATGAGATAAGATAGTATAAAATACGATGAGAAAAGATAAGATTCTTCTATTGATAAAAAAAAAAAATTAAATTAAAATGTAAACATGCATTTTCAGGTCCTAAATAAATACATAGTTTAACCTAAACAGCCTTTTATAATGATAGCAATTTCAACACAAGACATCTAAAGTGTTTCTCTAGCGTAGAGATCAGCAATAACTGAACTCCTTTAGTGACGATAATGACTTAATTGGTGATCATTTAGCTTTGGTAAACGATGGGGGGAGCACGTTGGTAAATTCGTAAAGATTGTGGAACAAAAAGAATCTCTTCTCCATTCAGGTATTGAATATGTCAGACATTGAAACAATTAAAAGAAGGAGAGAGAACATTCTTTTGGAATACATCAAACAAAGACTGGGCAGACTCAAGCTCTTTTTTATCCTCAAATATAATTCATTTGTTTCCATGGCTGGTTTAAGACTTTGGTATCCATGGCTGGTTTAAATCTTTGACATCCATGGCTGATTGAAGACGTTGACATCCATGGCTGGTTTAAGACTCTGGTTATAAAATTCGTTTTTACAACCACGTTCAAGATCAAATCTAATTCTCTCTACCTAGAAACAAAAAAACGTAATAAAATAAATTTTTAAGAATTAGTAAAATTGATTCCTTTGTCACGAGTCCCCTAAAAGTCATGGGCCCCCTTAAAGTCATGGGTCTCCTAAAAGTCATGCGCCCTTTAAAATTGATGGGTCCCTTAAAACTCATGGGGCCCCTAAAAGTCACCATTCCCCTAAAAGTCACAGGTTCCCTAGAAGTCTCCTAAAAGCCATGGTTCCTTTAAAAGTCAGGGGTAACCTAAAAGTCATGGGTCCCTTAAAAGTCACGGGTCCCTTAAAAATCATATGCCCCCTAAAAGTCTTGGGTAATTTAAAAGTCATGTGTCCACTTAAAGGCACGGGTCCCCTAAAAATCGTGGGCACCTAGAAGTCATGGGTCAACTAAAAGTCCATGGTTCGTATGTATTAGGGCAGGTCTGCACAACCTACAATGCCATGGTTTGTATGTATTAGGGCAGGTCTGCACAACCTACAATGCCATGGTTTGTATGTATTAGGGCAGGTCTGCACAACCTACAATGCCATGGTTTGTATGTATTAGGGCAGGTCTGCACAACCTACAATGTAAGGCGGGGAGTAATACTTTTTTTTAAAATGTAATGCGGGACGAAAGAAAAGAGGACAGAGGTCTGGGGGGGGGGGACTATTAAGAAAATAATAATAACTATTATTACAAAAAGTTGTGTGTACTACTTTCTAAATTGTTTTACTCTCTTTTGGATATTAGGGCAGGTCTGCACAACCTACAATGTAAGGCGGGGAGTAATACTTTTTTTTAAAATGTAATGCGGGACGAAAGAAAAGAGGACAGAGGTCTGGGGGGGGGGGGACTATTAAGAAAATAATAATAACTATTATTACAAAAAGTTGTGTGTACTACTTTCTAAATGTGTTTACTCTCTTTTGGAGTGTCAGTGTGTGTTTCCCTGTCTGTGTCTATGATTCTGTGTATGTTTTGTTCTATTGTATTGTAAAAATAATTATTTGCTGGTGCTTCCGTGTTGTTAGTGAGAAGATTCAGTTGGTTAGGTTATAAAATGTCAATTGACTTTGAGTGGAAATGGTTAAAGATAGTGTTATTTGTATTTTATTAATTGTTCTTTGTGAACAACGTTAATAGGTAAATTCAAATTTTATTAAAAAGTGCAAAAACAGCGTGTTACTGTTAGATGCGTGTCACTTGACAGTGTACACCATCCAAACACACTGGCCTTGGCATTGTCAAGGAATGAAGCGTCTAGGACAACGCAGTCCCACAGTCCATCCGATTGGCAGATTGGTAGCAATGACATCCTTGCCTTCTGCCAGTTCGAAGAGCCATTAAACGGTGTAAGTCAAGCTTGGTGTGGGGGGCGGGTAAATGACTTAATCCAAGCATGTGTTTAAAAATTACGAAGATAAAGAAAGAAACATTTTTTTTTATAATTGATGACGTCGGCAGGGGGAGGTCAACGTGACTTGGATTGTTGGTGCGTAGGGAGAAAAAGAGTGGAAAAGGGTGGGAAAAATCTGTTGATGGTTAATTTTTTAAAGGGGGCTCACTTTGGGAGGACACAGGGGTGTATAACCCTTGTAATAGGGTCGTCTCACGCGTCACAGACCTGCTTTAATTTGGAAGAATTCCTTTATAGACTACGTTTCAGACCAAGAGTACAGTACAGCCAAGTAGTTCAACCGATAGAGG